CAGGCGGTGTCCCCGTCCTTTGCATGGGCCAGCAGACCGACCCAGGCTGCCCCGCCCTCTCTCCGGCCTTCCTTTCCACTCCTGATCCCCAAGCCCTCCCCCCCCTCCCCGGCCTGGGTCCCACTCATGAGGTCAGAGTTGGGTTTGGTGCTGAGTGTGATGAGGGAGGCAGGCGGCCCTCTTTTGATAAACTCTCTAATCAAGAGCAGGAGGAGGCTACGGGGATGAAGAAGGAAGGCCATCCTGGAGAGGGCCCTGCCTCAATGGTGGCCTGCCCCACCCTGGCTGGGGACCGGGCAAAGGCCTGCCCTAAGCCCAGCTCCTCTGCCTGGTGAGCTCGTGGTGGAGGGACGCAGGGTCAGGAGCCACAGGGCTGCCTGCTGGTCACCCGCAGCTCAGAGGCAGGACCCTGAGCAGCAGGACCTGGTAAAAGCTCCACCGTCCTTTGCTCCTCTTGTCTTTAGGGGGTACAGACGGGAATCACGTCCCCCGAGACTTCAGCCACCAGGACAGTGAGTGGCTGACACGCTCAGGGAAGCTCAGCCACCGGGGAGCTGCCTCTCTGATGAGCAGTGGGTCTCCTCTCTGTCCCCTCCAGAAGCCAGCTCCATGGGCGGCAGAGGGAAGAGGCCCCGGGGCTCCCGGAGCTGGATTTAATAAGAAGGTTCCCAAAGCAGGGCCAGCTGTGCAAGGCTGGGCTGAATGTGCCCACTGCTGGCCTCGCTCAGCCTGGCCAACCCTGAGGGCAGATGCCAAAGAGCGGGCACTGGGTTTGTGAGCTGTGCTAGGAAGAGCCAGGGCTAGAAGTGCCACTTCTGCTCTGTTTTCCCCCGTGAGAGCAGGTGCCTGTCCCCCATTGTCACCACTCTGGGGAACTTATCTGCCGGACTGGCCCCATCCCTGCCAGTCCTACCTCCACCCCTGATCCCCCGTGGAAGGTCCAACCTGATCTCCAGCCACCTCCTGGACTTTCAGGACATCCCTGGGCACCTCAGCTTCAATGTGTCCAAAATCTCCACTCTGATAGTTCTTGCTGGGCAAGTGGCCCACCACACACTGGTCCCCAGCCAGCAGCCTGAGTCACCGAGTCCTCCCCCTCATACTCCATCAGAAGCCACACCCTGCCCTTTCTTCCTTCCCACTGTCCTCCGGCTGCCCTTGCTCTCCCCATCCAGGAAGTGGGCTGTTCGACCCTCCCTGTGCCACCACGTGCCCAGCTGGGACAGGTGAATTTGATGAGGGCTCTCCTGTTCCAGGATGGGCTGGGTGTTCTGTTCACTCCTCAGAGTGAAGGCCAAGCAGGCAGCGAGGCCCTTGGCAGCCCCTCCGGGCACCATCACTGGGTTGCCCTGCATGCGCCTCAGGTCCAGCCACTCGGGCCCTCTGGCCTCGGCTGACTGGCCTGGCACCTTCTGCCTTCAACTCCTGTTCATGCTAAGATGACATTTCAGCTAAGCAGGCAAAACCTGGGCAGAGAGAACTGCATGTGAGAAGGCTCTCGGCTGAAAGAAAGGCCACGATTTGGAAGGAGGGAGGGAGGGAGGGAGGGAAGGAGGCAGGGAGGGAGGGAGGCAGGGAGGGCAGGCTAGACTGCAGAATGGCGAGGAGCCCGTGGGAGAAGGAGGGGCGGGCAGGTAGGGTGGCGGTGGCTTTGGCCCATGTGCTAGCATCTGCCACCTCCTACCTTCTCCTCCTCAGGGGCCCACCTTTCCCTACAGCCCCGCTAGGGACTGAACCCAGGTCTAGTTCATGGGTGATCAACAGAGAACAGGCCTGATGCCCTTTAAGAGACCAGGGGAAAGACGGCTGTGCAGAGGGTCACCATGGTCAGTGGGCAGCTGCATCACCAAGGCTCCTCTGCACTGGCCGTGAACACTCCTGCCCACATGGTCGCCTCTGCCCAGCGTCACTCCTCCCAGAGAGCCA